ACATCCAAGTATAAATCTCAGCACTGGCCATGCCAGGCAGGCCCTCCACAGCTGAGCTGCATCCCTAGTCCTGTCCTCATTATGAAGGTGTCGTCTGAGATCGTGCCAGTAGCGTCCCAGTGTCATCACCCTTAACATCTGTGTTTTGGTGGGATTTTTAAAGTTTCCCTTCCTCCAGGCTCAATTCGCCTTATTGCCCCTCTGTATCTTTCCAGTGGCCCCTGGGTACCAGTGAGCCAGGAGGAGGTGCAGGGCTGGGCGGGCCATAACGGTTCCTGGTCTCTGTGATGTTGCCATGCTTCTGTGTGGCAGAACCCTGAATCTCCCCTCCAGGAAGAAGGCAGGCACGGTCCTGGCCGGCAGAGTGTTGTTTATTATTCCAGGTCAGTGGGAGCCAAGTCTAACCCCCCAGCAACCTGGACTGCCTGACACCTCAGTGTTATCTCAACATTCCTTACAAAGGCCGGGAAGCAGCCCAGATGGGCACCTTGGAGACAAACCACTGGTCTTTGGTGTTGGCACCACTCCCCACCCGGGGCCTCCCTGCCTCACAGGCAGCAGAGCCAGCACCCCTTACACCCCAGAATGAGCTCTGGCTTTGTTTGGACCTGTCTTCTCTGCTCTTTCTCTGTGCAAACTCATGATCTGTGGAGCTTGCTTGATTTTTTTCCCCACTGTTCCAAGCATGAGGGCAGGGCTGGGATTGGAGCACAAAGAATGGTTAAGTAGTTGACTAGATTGCAGAGATAAATTCATTTTTCTGGTTTTCTCCTGTGATTTCACACCATGTGATTAACACTCCCTCCCGTGGAATTCCCACACGAACAGCACCTTAGGTAGTGGATGGGTCATTGTGCCAATGTAAGGGATAGGGTCAACACAGTATGAAAAATGAGAAATACCAATGAAGGGGAAGAGTGATAGCCAAAAGCAGTATTGGAACAGCCGCCCGATTGGGGATTCAGTGACATCACTGTTACTGGGGGAATCCCAGTGAGAAGTCGGAGTCTGGGCTGCTTCTGAAGGGTGGGCGTGGGGTTTAGGTGGGGAATGGGGATAGGTTGCCAGATTTAGCAAAAAAAAAAAAATGCACATCCTGTGTAACACATGACAGTCAGACTAAAACATTCTTCGTTGTGTATCTGAAATGCAAGTTTCACGGACCGTCCTGTAGTTTATGCATAGTTCCTGCATGGGGAGACTTTTCAAGTGAAAGGTGTATGCACAGACTGCGTTGCAAGGGCATGGAGTAGGCACAAATAGGGGATGGCAAGGGTGTAAGACAGGTGGCTGGTGCGCCTTTGCGTTGCCAGCCTGGCACACATCTGTGGGCATGCAACATAGTCCACACTTAATCCCCATGACGATAGCATCGTTATTCCACAGCAGATTATCTTTTTTTTTTTTTTTTTTTTTTTTT